CAAATCCGACGCATTTTAGTTGATCCAGGGTAGATACAGTTTTGCTGAAGTTAAACTGAAATTTCATCGAGTGCTGCGTTGTCGCGAGTTCGAAAATGTTCACACCCTACAAAGGAACTGTTGCCTGAATTCTGAGCACTGATTTTCATGTTCCGAGAATTGAGACCGCGGCGTATGCCATCAATGCACTAGCTCCCAGAAGTGCACTCTTCATGATAATGTGCCTTCACTAAGAAATATATGTAGTTTAAGTAGAACCTTGAAAACGAAGTTAATCAATGCACAAACTGGGAGCCCTTATGAAAGGTAATCAGAACCTACTACACTTTATCCACTGTCGCTGCAGACAGATTCGTTTGTCGAAGTTTGCACCTCTCAACAAGTGAATCCACACCCATTCGTGAGACCGCGAGGTAGTAAATGACTCCGGAAACTGTGGTTAACAGTCCGATGACAGCCCCACCCGCAAACATTCCAGCATTGATGGCATATCCACATGATGTAGCGGTTGCTGCCGGTAATGGCTTTGGGTTCGCTACTGCGTGGTAGTGGCTGCTTACTCCTGCGCCGTAGAAGAACAAAACCACCGCAACTACGCAGAATGTCCTACAGCAAGAGACACTAGTCAGGGCTGGAATAATATCAGCATTAGTTTGCGTATGAAATTCTGAAAAGCAAGGCCAACAGCATTGGATTCAGTGAAAGATCATCGAGATTTACCCTCATGACAAGTTAGAGTTATGGAACCGAGTTGGGGTACCACGAAATCATGAGACTCTTGAGGGCATGTTGAGCGGGGCCGGTGAAGTTGCCGTTCATACGATTGCAGCAGAGACATCCTCCAGCCGCAGAGAAACCAATCTGTGATGCGAGAAGAAGGATTCCTGCCATGATAGATCGCGAAACGGTTTGATTCGGTGGCTTGTAGCACTGGTTCTCACTGTCAACCCACACCAGTTTATCCGCCTGTGAGATGTATTAGCTCACAGAATTAGCCATCGCAAAACTCGACCACTTCATGGATTATCTTGAAGACAGCATTGCAATGAGGTAATATCCATTCCAAGAAGTCCCCGGGGGGCCCCTCGGTACCTTGATCGTTCCCAAAACTTGAAGCTTACCATGCTCCACATTGCAGTCATTCTGTGAAAATGGTGGAAGGAATATTCGAGATCTATTGAATTCTTTGATCTCAAACGGATTGACTGGGTTGTGGCATTTGCATGTGTGAACATGGTAGCTTTACAGTGTGGACAGTAGCTCATAACAATAAAATGGTGAATGCAAGTGCGGCAAAATCACGAAGAGTGTAGCTACTTACACTGATGCGCTTTAGCTCAGCAGAAAAGCCCATGACCGATGCCACTATGCCAACCATGGTTCCCACAACGGCGATTATGATCACTTTGAAAGGGTATGTGGTGCCCAAGGCCATGACGTTGTATTCGTGTCGCTCCTACCAATTTGACCCTCACCACTGCAAAGATTTCTTCAACTCAACCTTTCTGCTCTTGACAATGCACACCACTTCAAGGCTATCGAATTCGTAGATAGAAAACGTAGGGCTAACTATGAAGCTTACTAAGCAAGTAACTACGAAGGAAGCACTGTAACCATGAACGATACGAGGTAGAAACGACAGTTACATTTCATCAAAAGATCCCAAAGTAATAGACAGAATTCACAAGAAAAATTTATCATTTAAAAACATCTAGCAAAGAAAGAAGTCAAAATTTTATCAACAATGCCTGGGAATTAGATGCTCAACATCCTAGACTGCTGTCATGTGGAAGAACATAGCAGTAGCACAGTTTGTAGCTTCAGTAATGCACTAAGAAAAAACAAATGTAGTTTCGTTGGGTCAGTGTAGGACTCAGGGATCTTGATCAAAAATACACAGTACCATGTATCGTGAATCCTCCCTGCCACCTCGTCACCAGCTGTAACAGACTGGCCGCAGCCATCATTTTTGGGGTCGGGACCTGCTCTTTAAATGTAATCATATGGTCTGATTTTGGGGGCGGTGTGATGAAAATTGAATCATCATGGAGAGGAGGTTGCAAAGAAGCGTTGCAACTGAAATTGTATTTCTAACCGTGGTTGATTCGAGCAAGCACCTTCAACCACAACCATGGTTTGGTGTCGCATAAGATTTCTCCGGGCAATGTGGGTAAAACAGAGGGAGAATCGCTTATGTGCAACAGATGTTCTGATTCTGTGGACAGCGAACACTTTCAAGACAACTGATCAGCATTTAATCTCAAGAAATTGTGAACAACCCTCACCAAATTTAACAGCGAGAATACAAGGGACTAGATAATATCGTCCATTCATGCAAGAAGATTCAAGACGGACGTATCCTTGTGCAAAGTGTCGAGCATTGATCATATTGATAATATTCTAGCGGTGCAGGTTTGCAAACGGCAACTATGATACGTGATACCAGCGCATGAGCTCATCAACTATTATCTGGTCATGCATATCAATCTTGTTGCTATGATTTCTACAGGGGTGGTAAACTATCGACAGCACAGTGAAACTGTGTGTTAAATGGATATTATCAAGCGGATTGTGGTGGTGATTCAAACAGAACGTGAACTTCTTTTCACAATCTAGCGATGCACTACGCATGAACAAAATCGTCTTCACGCTCAATTTCCCAGCTTGTCAAATGTCCTTGGACAAAATCATAATGCATGCCAAAAATTCGCAATTTTCCAGCCTTTACTCGCTCTTCAATGAAAGGAAAAGTCAGCAGGTTCACTAATGATACATTCACGGCTTCCTGCATTACAGGCAAGGAATTTGTTTAGAGTTGACAAATTCACAAATCATTGGCGTTCTGCAAGCAACATATCATGCTGTCTTACACATCCCAGTGGATTTTATAATCGTTGAAAGTGGCGCACATATTCCAGAATTAACTTACATCCGAGGTTCTTATGGAAACATTAATCATGTACACCCCTGATATGTGCACGAAAGAGCCATACCTGCTCACAAAAGCCGCATTGTTCATCAAACGATTTTCCTGCCATTAAAGATAGTGCCTTCTCCTTGGCAGGAAGTCCAATCCGAACCCAGCTTCCAACAAAGTCACTGCAAGAACAACAAAATATGACAACAGACAAATAAGTAACTGATTGAAAGAAAGTGGCATTTCGTGCCGGAATCCAAGGATCGACTAACAAGAAAGTGGCAACGCATACCCAGAATAGATATCTCGCGTCATCAGCGCTCTTATGCCTCCACAGTTGCTGTGCCCCATTACTACGATACGTTCAACCTGCAGATCATGGAGAAGACCTCAGCAACTAATTTCTTCACACGTAAGACTGCTGATGTCGGTAAAGGAATAATAATTAATAATTTCTGATACCAATGACAGACAACCTGATAATCTCCACGACAGCAGAGGAAAAAGTCTCACTGTACCCTGTTGACATACCTGAAGGACAGTGACAGCGAACTCTATAGCAGCGCTTGTACCATGATGCTCTCCCTGCAGAACCATTTTGAGTTGCTTCATCAGTCAAGAGAGCCAATCCCTAAACAACAGTCCACATTGAGACACAAAAGCTTGGATTAGTACGGGGCATGAACATAAAATCCTTTCAAAACGTATTCACATACCGATCCTTCGCAGGGAGGAACCAAATTGGCAACGTTCCGGACTATGAAAGCCTCTCCGGCTTCCAGACCGTGAAGCATTGTTGGGCACACCCTGGAGTCTGCGCATGTGATCATCATTACCTATTTATCACCAAATCAGACAGATTCACATGTATCAGCAGAGCAGCAATTCGTGCATGCACAGATTCCACAGAAACTCAAAGAGTAAGAGGTTTTCACAAAATGTCCATCCAAGAATTTCAAAAACTGATAAAATACCTTCGGTTCTTGACCTTCCGCAAGCTTGGCGTAAAGATCTGGCTTCTGGCTGCAGAAAACAATCATGAACTCAGTGCTCAACCACAAATATTGCATCATGGACATCGTATTTGACGTTGCAAGTGTGACAATTGGAAGAGGGTGCTTTCAGAACGACCGAAACCGTGTTACACTGAATTTACTGTCTAAAACAGAGGAGAAATTTGATTTTGAGATACCTCGGGCAATGTTAAGGGCTGAACAAGTCTAACAGAGAAAATTACTATTTATGACTAGATCGTCTTGACAAAGGTTAGCTCCAGAACTAGAGAAGGCAACCTCATTCACGGTTGGGATCAAGGCCGTGCAACGCATGCACGTATAAATTGATAATTCAAAAACGCAAGAGCAATAAGCAGTTGAAAATGATAACCAATGGTGTATACTAACAGAGTGCCACAGCGGGAAGGAAAAACCACTCACTTATACTCATTCTTCTTAAAATTCTTGAATCCATTCTTCAGCTTCTCAATCACATCGCCGGTGCTTTGAACAGGCGTATGCTCATCCAAGATTTCATGTTTCCTCAACACATAGCCTTCTTTCAGCATCCCACCCAATCCTCGCATCAGCGCAACTCTGGTGGTCACATGTCGAGAGAATTTCACCACCTTCGCTATACCGTTGTCAGCAACGGGCCGCCATGCGAATCCTCTGGGTTCAGAGCTTTGTGGACGCCAAGCTGAGCACGGTGCCGTGCATGGCCCTATTTTCGGAGCCACATGAGCCGATTTTCTGGCCAAGAACCCATCACTGGCGAAGCCAGCGGTAGGACTAGATCCCACTTGAACAGCCTCCATGGCGAGCAAACACCCTACCTGCCACAAACTCTTCCCACATCTCCGCCGAATTGGGTTTCCGCCATACAGAAACCCAAATCTCACAGACTGTTTCAGCTCCACGCCGTGGACACTCCCCACTTCACAATCACTGCCGCGATTCGTTCAAACAGACTGCAAGAGCCCGTGCATCCTGTTATCGCTTCAGTGGCTGTGATTCGTGACGATTGGGATACCAGAAGCAAAAGCAGGGGCGAAGAGGGGCAGAGGAAGATGAGAGCCAGAGGGGGCGAGGGATGCGATGGGGCCTGTGGGAGTGTCAAGCGGGCACTGACGGCGATGTAAGCAAGCAAGCAAGAGAGGTAGAGCAGCGCGAGGAGGACGACGACGAGGACGAGGACAAGGTGGAGGGAGAGGACGTGGAGGACGGGGCTGAGGACGTGGAGTCGCGTCGGCGCTGATTTGGCGTGTCCACCCCCCACACGCCACTGGCGGCCCCGTCATTTACGCACCTTTTCAAACTTTGTTTTGTTTTCCTCACTTTTCTTTCTCATCCTTTTCTTTCACATGCTTTTCTTCTACTCTCTTCTTTTTCATTCTTTCTTCGCGTCTTTTTCTTTTCATTCTCACACCTGTGTTCTTTATTTCTCTCTATCGTTTCTTTTCGTTTTCTTCTTTCTTTGCTGCTTGCTTGCTGCTTTATATAAAGGATTTTTTTTTTCTTGTTTATTTATTTATTCTCTTGATTGATTTATTTTTTAATATTTATTTTCTTTCATAGCTAATTTGCACTAACAGAAGGTGCATCACTTTATTGAATTTATGATTTTTATATATATGCATAATGATATGAGTTTGTAGCATATTGTCATGGACATAACCAACACTACTAATTACTTAGATAAAAAGAATTAGATAGAAGTAAGTTAAAATAGATAAGTTTAATAATATCTTGTAAAAAAGCTTCTTAGCAGCTTTATAGATGTGGATTTGACTTTATACATGTCTATACGTGATTAATAGATTGAAAATTTGGCCCACATATAAAAAACTTGCCTTACAAGTTAGACACATGTCTTACAAGTTGAATACGTATTAGAGGTCCTATAGAATATTGTCACTCTTTTCAATGTCTTTTTTATTCTTATTTTTCTTTTTAAAGTCTCTAATATTCTTATCTTTGGCAATAGCTATTCTATTTTTAATATTACATTATTTTAAAGTAATTATCTACTCTTTTTTAGTGACACAAAAATATATTGTTGTTTTGGTTGTTTGTGATTTATATCATTGACAGTTTGATAAGAGTGTCAATTCATTATTCTTTTTTATCTTAGAAATAAGTGAATTATTTTAATTCTTTTGATATGCTTTAAGGTTTGCAAACTATCCACCTTTGAACTAATATTATTTTTTTTCTAATATTTATTCTTTCCTTAAAAAAAATGAACTATTTCTCTTTGTAGAAATTTTTATTTAATATTAGAGGTTGAAAATTACTCTTCTGATTTGACTTATAGATTTATTAAAGTTGTTTATTATAGAAATAGAAGAAAAAATTATAGATGATATATTTTAAAAAATTAAAAATAGAATTAAAAATATTATAAACCTTTATAAGCTTATAAATACTCGTAGTATTAAAATTTTACATATTATCAATTTCAATCATATAAGTACTATTCCTATGCCTATGAAAAAAAATAATAATGAGATTTAATATCTTTACTAAGAAGTTTAAAGAAGAAAAAATATCAATTTTACAATCGCATTGAAAAAATCTTCTACAAATACAAGAGAAGTAAAAATTTGTATGCCAAAGAATTTCAATGGAATATATATATATATATATATATATATATTTTTTTTTTTGAGAATTTCTATAATAAATCAAATTCCATTTATAATTATATCATTTTCAATATCTTCATGGATTTAATAAAGTTGGACTTATATACACAGTTTTATTTAGGAGTCGTTTTTTTTGGTTTGTACCTTTGATAAATAATGATTCACAACTCTTATATGTTTTAAATTTATTCTTACAAGTGTTTATAGTTATATTTAAAAAAAATAATTAAAAAAAGATAGCAGAGTTAAAACTCCTACTTTTATAAGAAAGATCAAAATCAACTATCATATATATTATTGAATTCCAAAATCTTGCTTGCTACATGGATTGAAATGATAAAATCCTTATCAATTAATTTTAATATGGAATAAGAGATAATATTAAATATTGATTATTAAAAAATAAAAAATAGATTTATTTGAGTAATTTATTATTTAAGCTATTGCATGTAATAATTAACTTTTTAAAAAATATTTAAAAAAAGATTTTGATAGAGAAGAAAAAATCAAGTCATAATAATAATTCATAAGTTTTCAAAAACTTATTCATGAAGGCCAAAACTTATGCAAATTAATATGGTATATTTTAAATCTCACTTAGCAAAAAAAATCAAATTAGTCAAGAAAAAATGTTTTTATATTGTAGAAAATTTAAAGACACTATTTGATATTATTTAAAAAACATAGTTACTTAAGAGGACCACGTGTTGGAAAACAAGTTTTTTCAACTATAATAGTGACTATGCAACTATTAATCTTACGTAACACCTAGTAAAGATTATATTTTTTCTTTAAATCCTTCACTTTATTTTACAATAGATATTTGTTCAAAACTAAAAATTTGTAAAGTCTTTATCTTATTAGATTCAAGACCCTTAGCTTATTTTATAAACAATGACTTTGTGCATTAAAAAAACTTAAAGATGCATGATTATATGCCAAAATAAAAAATTATATATTTTATACACCTCAAATTGACTTTTTAAGATATATTATTTCAAATAAAAGCCTTATGATGGATCTTAAATTTTTTTAAAACTATTATAGAATTTAAAGATTTCAAAAATAATAAAATATGTTTAATATTTTTTGATATTTTTTCTATTATTATAAATTCTTTATCAAGATTTTTTTTTAAGTTGCAGCTTTACTTATATGTTTAACTTGTAAAGACAAACTTGAGTAGAATAAAGAAATTGAAGTAATATTTAAAGTTTTGAAGATAGCTTTTACTTTTATATCAATTTTGTATTGCATTGATGTTTTTAAGGTATGTTTTTTATAAAAACAGATGCATCAAAATTTGTCTTTAGTACAATATTGTTACAAATAGGAAAAAATGATAAATTTCACTAAATAAATTTTTATTTGAATTGTCTTTTCAATAACTAAGATCAATTACAAGATCTACAATAATCAACATCTTACAATTATGGATTTTTTTTAAGAATGGCATAATTATTTAGAAAGCACTTGTAGTTCAATCATTGTGTATATGGATCAAAAGAACTTTGAGTATTTTATGTCAATACATATTTAAAATTGTCACCAAGCTTATTGAAGCATGTCTTTGTTAAGATTTAAATTTTAAATCACTTATATATCAATAAAAAAATAAGATTTTTTAATTTCTCTTTTAAATATTTTTATCTTATATCAAAAGAAAAAAAATACATCTTTCGATCAATAAAAAATAATTCTCTTAAAGCCAAGATATTTTTATCTTTGAATAATAAAATCAATATTAATTGTTGATTCAACTTTTTTTAATAAATTTTAATTAAGAATATCTTTAAATTATTTATTTTATAATATTAAGAATAATTCTTCTAAATTCTATCATACTTCTAAGTTTGACTTTAAAAAAAATCTAGTCTATTTTGAAGAACTCTTATTTGTTTCAAATTACATGTTTTTTAAATTTATTATAATTTTTTAGCTACAAGATATTTTAGATATAACAAGATATTGGATTTAATATTAAAAAATAAAACTAGTAGCCTCAAATATAGAAGACAATTAAAGATTTTGTATAATTATGTAATATTTGTTCAGGTTCAAAAATTCCTTATCATCAACGTTATAGACTTCTTAAGCCATTACCTATATCAATACAACCATGGTCTTTTTTTTCTATGGATTTAATAATAGATCTTCTAATCTCTAATTTATATGATCTTATATTTGTGATAGTAGATTGTTTCATTAAGATGGCACATTTTTTATCATATAAAAAAACTATTATATGTGAAAAAAAAAAAAAAACTAAAGTTTTTTTTGATAATATTTATTGCTATCATGGATTGTTAAGATATATTATATTAAATAAAATAATTTAATTTATATCAAGATTTTGATGAATTTTATTTTAAATATTTAAAGTGGACAATAAATTAACTTTGGCTTTCTATTGGTAAACTAATAGACAATCAAAATTGGTGAATAAAGTTTTGAAGTAGTATTTAAAATGTACCATTAAGTACTATTAAGATAATTACATAATTCTTTTTCCATTAGCAAAGTTGCTTATAGAAATAAGTTATATTCTTCTATTTAATAAAAATTATTTTATAATAATTATGATTATCATCCATAATTTGATACTTTTAACTATTTAATAGATAATATTTTTTTGGCAAAATATTTTAAAAATTATTTATCAAAGCTACATGCAATAATAGAGACACAATTAAAAAATCTTAAAAATAACAAAAAAATATATAGATGCTTGTTATAAAGACCAACTATAATTTTACATTGGCAAAAAGGTATAATTAATTTTTTATAATATCAAAATTATTTATTTTTATAATAAGTTGGATTATTATAGATTAAAATTATTTTTTAATTGTAAATAGATCAATCTAGTTGCATATTGATTATACCTACATAAGTCTATGAAGATCTACTTTGTGTATTATTTATTCTTCTTTGAACCATAGAAGATAATGGATATACCAAGAAGAAGACAAATGTCACCTCTTTCTATAGAAAAAAAATAATAATCAAGAATTTGAGGTAGAAGAAGTCTTAGACTCAAGGCAACGTTGAAATAGATTAAAATATCTTAAACATTACTATAGATATAATATTAATAAATATATATAAAAGCTATTAAAAAATCTTACAATTGCAATAAAGAAGATAGATATTTTTCATTGATAATATTTATAAAATCAAGATGAAGAATTTAACAATTTTTTGATATATGGCAAATAAGATTCAATGAAGATTACATTCTATCTTCTATATTTTTTTATAATTTTTGTATATCTGTGGCACAAAGAAGATAAAAAAATCAACAACCAACAAATTCAATTCAATAATTATTATTTATAGAGTTATCAAATGATACATTGAGATTGTCACAACCTTCAAGACAACATAATAGAGATGAAGACCGTTAAGAATAATATGTTCTTCTTCAAATGCATGTATTTGATATCACAATCTTGGAAGAGATTTCCAGTGTTTGGTAATAGTATTGGGGGTAGGAACCACCATTGAT